GGTGAAGGGTCGCAATGCGATGCTCGATCTGACGCATCCTGGTCGACTACCGATCCCGTCATGCACAGAAGCTTGCCGCCGTGGTGAACGGAGGCTTTATCTATACGTCGACGGACGCGGGCTTCAACTGGACGGAACAAACGAACGCTGGTATTCGTGACTGGTCATCGATCGCGTCCTCATCGAATGGCACGGTACGTGTTTGGATGGAGGCCATTACGCAAGAGGCACGATGCTCCTGTCCTCGATGGCGGTCCCATCATGTGTGCATGTCAGGTGAAGGGTCGCCATGTGATACTCGATCTGATGCATCCTGGTCGACTACCCATCCCACCATGCACAGAACCTTGCCGCCGTGGTGAATGGAGGCTCCATCTGGACGTCGACCGACGCGGGCGTCACCTGGACGGAGCAAATGAACACTGGTTCTCGTAGCTGGGTATCAATCGCGTCCTCGTCGGATGGCACGGTAGGTATTTGGATGGAGGCCATTACGCAGGGGGCTCGATGCTCATGTCCTCGATGGTGGTCGCATCGTGCGTGCATGTCTGGTGAAGGGTCGCAATGCGATGCTCGATCTGACGCATCCTGGTCGACTACCCATCCCATCATGTACAGAACCTTGCTGCCGTAGTCTTTAGAGGCTTCATCTATACGTCGACCGACGCGGGCGTTACCTGGACGGAGCAAATGAACGCTGGTTCTCGTGACTGGTTATCGATCGCGTCCTCATCGAATGGCACGGTACGTGTTTGGATGGAGGCAATTACGCAGGGGGCATGATGCTCCTGTCCTCGACGGTGGTCGCATCGTGCGTGCATGTCTGATGAAGGATCGCCATCCGATGCTCGATCTGACGCATCCTGGTCGACCACCGATCCCGTCATGCACAGAACCTTGCCGCCGTGATGAGTCCAGGCTTCATCTATACGTCGAACGACGGGGGCGTCACCTGGACGAGTCGATTAGACAATCTATCCCGTAACTGGCGCTCGATCGCGTCCTCATCGGATGGCACGGTACGTGTTTGGATGGAGGCCATTACGCAGGGGGCATGATGCTCCTGCCCTCGACTGTGGTCGCATCGTGCGTCCATGTCAGGTGAAGGTTCGCCATCCGATGCTCGATCTCATACTTCCTGGTCGCCCACCGATCCCGTCATGCACAGAACCTTGCCGCTGTGGTGACTGGAGGCTTCATCTGGACGTCGACCGACGCGGGCGTCACCTGGACGGAGCAAACGACCATAAGCTCACGTAACTGGTTATCGATCGCGTCCTCGTCGAGTGGCACGGTACGTATTTGGATGGAGACCATTACGCAAGATGCACGATGCTCCTGTCCTCGATGGTGGTCCCGTCGTGTGTGCATGTCTGGTGAGGGATCGCCATGCGATGGTCGATCTGACGCATCCTGGTCGACCACCGATCCCCTCATGCACAGAACCTTGCCGCCGTGGTGAGTCCAGGCTTCATCTATACGTCGACCGACGGGGGCGTCACCTGGACGGAGCAAACAAACGCTGATTCACGTAGCTGGTTATCGATCGCGTCCTCGTCGGATGGCACGGTACGTATTTGGATGGTGCCCATTTCGCCGCGCACACGATGCTTCTCTCCTCGATGGTGGTCCCATCGTGTGTGCATGTCTCGTGAGGGATCGCAATGCGATGCTCGATCTGACGCATCCTGCTCAACTACCGATCCCATCATGCACAGAGCCTTGCCGCCGGGGTGAATAATGGCTTCATCTATACTTCGACCGACGCGTAGATATGAGCATGTCGATGAAGAAAGATAGGGAACAAAGTCACACCCTTTCCCGCCTGGCCCTAGTCTTGCTCAAAGGCAATATCACTAGGATCATCGAATGGTTCTTAAGCCTCCAGGCCGCGTCCAACTTTTGCAAGGGATGCTCTACGTCATATCACTTCTATGTTCATAGGTTACCGCGTCCCGTGCTCCCGCTTTCATCATCCATTGGCATTAGGTTCAGAGTTAAAGAACCAACTGCTTCCACATTTCCCACAAAAATAATTGAAGAATTGAGAGAAAAATCAGAATTAAAGAGGCAACTACTACCTCATCTTCGAGGATTGGAAATTGTTGAAAACCGTTCATCTTAGTTAGATTTGGTACTACTTTGACGTTCTTAAACATGATCTGTTAGGGCTAGGGTTAGGGCTAGGGTTATGGTTAGGGTTATGGGTTATGGGTTAGGGTTATGGGTTAGGGTTATGGGTTAGGGTTAGGGTTAGGGTTAGGGTTAGGGTTAGGGTTAGGGTTAGGGTTAG